ATGGAATGGAAACAAGAGCGACGAGAACAACTAATCTCAGCATTTTGTTTTCAGAATAGGTCAGAAGAGAATGGAATGTAGAATGTAGAAGGATGGTGTGAAACTTAACGAAGTCGTGACTTCGACGGCCTGCTATTTATTTGATTCTGACGCCTTGACGATGGATCGTTAGAACACGCGCCACGCCGACACTGACGATGGCAAGAGAGCATTGTGATATAAGAGAATGCGATGGATCGACAATCTGTGATCTTCTATAATCCAATGACGCGCACAGTACAATAGTGGCCAAATTCAGGAGACACAGACATTTATCAGCTTTCATGGATGCACCGGAACGATCCGAGTGTCGTTCTATTAGAGGTTTTACGGTATTTACAAGAGATACAGTATTCGTGTATAAAGGCTTTTGTGTGTAATCTTAAAGTTTTAAAACTTTTCTGAATTTCAAAGGACCGAGCTTTATTTTGAAAAAATAAACATTTCCACCTCTTGATACCCGAACCGTCCAGAACCGCAACACCTCTCAAAAACTAATCAAATCATGAATCTATATTCAAAAAATCTATGAAAATTCTTCCTATTACTCGGATTTCGGCTCTGAAACAAAATACTTATCCTCATACATACTTTGTTTTTCATAGAAGCATATCGATTTATGTTCAAAACTGCTACCGCAGTGCATTTCTTATAAACTAGAATCATTTCCTTACAAAAGAACACACAAACCAGAATGATTTACAACAACCACAAGACAGTCACTGAATTTTTCGCCAAAATACGATCAGCAACAATTAATCACAAGGTCTCACAAGACGGTGTGAACTGGTTGAACCACCCGATTCTCTATCCATCAAGTTCCATTGAACGTTTTAGCACGACAACAGAGAAGCCACAGTCTTGTGATTAGGGGTGGAGTTAACGGAATCAGAGAACGATTGAAGTGGCGAATGAGAAAGAATACCGTATCTTTATAAAGAGTCAAAAGTAGGAAATCCGGTTGAAGGAGTTTCTTGATTCATGAATGTTCTCACTTCAGTTACAAAGTGTTTGAAAAAAAAAACTTCGAATTCGAATTTTTTTTTTGAATAGTTAACTTTCAAAAACAATAGTTCCGCTTACTAATAAAACTCCTTGATTTTCCAATTGCTGCTTTGATATTTGTAGCTCATAATTAAGTCGTGTGTTCTCAAATTCCGAGCCACTTTCCAGTTCCTCTTCCAGTTGTTTTTTTCTCATTAGAATTTTTAATATCTTCGCTTCTTGTTTATATTCTCCTTGGATAGGTACTGTAGACATTTTGAAATTGGTTCCAGTCCAAGAAATTACAGAAATTGGGAACTCAACGAGTTCATAACGATGACTCAATCTGAAAATGCAAGTTATTTGCTTTGCTTCGACCGTGTCTCAATCTCACATGAAGAACTGTTGAAGTCCCAATCGAGAAGTACTCAAATAAATCAAGCTTTTGAATATGCTTGTAACAAGGAACGAATCCGTCATGTGAATTGTTAAATGGCGAAACATACAGTAATCACATTTGAACCAGAAGCGAATTAGCTGATTCAAATGATCACAAGTGAAATAGTTTGAAATCAGAGAAACACTGAAACTATTCCGGATAGTCATCAAGTCTTCAACTCGGACCCAATCGGCTTCGTGGTAATCCATTTCTAGAAAATATTGGCATGGAATCCACATTGATCATAATCTTCCTCTCCAAACTGGCCATGTCCATGATTAAGTCGAGATCTTCTGCGTCTATTGTTTCTCCTTCTATCAACATGCTCTTCCAGTTCTTGAAACATGAACTAGACAACAACTCCTTCACAGTTCCCTTTTTCATTTTGTCCAAATGGAAATGGATTATCAAATTGGAAGAAGGAAGAAGTTTTTGGATTCTGTCATAAACCAAAACTATATTTTGATTGGAACATCTCCGACCAAACCTGAAATTTTTGAAATACTAATCTGATTGCAGAATAATAAAATGTACCATAAATGTACCAATATACATATATGCTATCGCTTTCAGACACCTCCACTTGAATATATGATTTATTATCTTTTACATAGACGTAGTGGCAATCCGCTTTGATTCTTGTTAGTTCCACATAGTTCTCCATCTGATGTGCAGTTAAAGCCAATTTGATTCTTCAAGAAAAAATTCATAAAGACAATTTTTAGCAAAATTGGTATTTTTTCATATTGTTCTGGTACTAAATATCGTAGCTGTGGAAGAGAAACGCCGGTGGCTGTGGCCGAAAGTTCCAAAACGTCAACTACCGTAACCTAAAAATATTTTTATTTGCTGTGCACGCTCTCCCACAGAACAATTCCGAACTGCAAATTAATTTTTGATCTACAGAAAAAAAGTTTGGCGCGATCACAATTGCAGGTCTAAAACCATAATTTCAGAATTTTTATCTGATTTTGTGGAGTTTCAAGATGATTCAAATGATTCTTAAAAAATTAATTAGTGGTTATAGATTCATGTATTACTCTCGTCCGAAATCAATGCACGTTGCGGCCGGAAATTTACTCAAAATCGCATCGTCGGTCGCACAGCGAAAACAACAAATGCATGTGCCTTTAAATACCGTACCTCGGACGTTTTTTATTTTGGGCCCTATTTGGCTGTTTTTCCTATTTTATAAGAAAAATAAATTGAAGATTTATAAGAATTACACAAAATTAGACAGAAACAAGCGAAAAAATAAGAGTAAATAATTCAAAACCCTCATGAAATTGCATAAAATAGCATTTTTGCGTTGTTTTTTGATTATAAAAAAAGTTTTATCAGACGAATTAAAAGTTCGTCCATAGAAAATGTAGAGAAAATAATTGCAGTGTTTTGAGCTATAGAACTCCTAGAAATGTCAAAAACTGAAAGAAGAGATAGATTTTTTCTGTAAAAAACTTTCAAAATTACCATTTTTGACATTTTTTTCTTCCGGAAAACGACCATACATGAATCTATAACCACTAATTAATTTTTTAAGAATCATGTGAATCATCTTGGAACTCCACAAAATCAGATAAAAAATTCTGAAATTATGGTTTTAGACCTGCTATTGTGATCGCGCCAAACTTTTTTTTCTGTAGATCAAAAATTAATTTGCTGTTCGGAATTGTTCTGTGGGAGAGCGTGCTGTGTTTATTTTCTTGTTTTTCACTGTTTTTCGCGGAGTTCTTCGTTCTGTTTCCCAAAAAAACGCACGAAAATCGAGAAAAAAAATCCGGAGAATACAAATATTTTAGGTTGCGGTAGTTATCGTTATGGGACCTTTGAAAACAGCACCGTTCCATGTGCGCATCTTTTATAAGTTTTTCAGGTGACTAAATAAATCTGGTGTAATTAACCTTTCCTGAACTGTCATCAGACGGATAATCTCTCTCATTGGAACAAACGGAAGTTCTGCAAACGGAAAGACGGATTGCCTGCTGAACAAACTCTATTTGATTCTTTTGTTCATGCATGTAAAACTCACTTTCTTCCAAAATATGATTTATTTCTTTTTACAAACAGCCAAAGCTTGAATAAAGATAAGAAATATTTTTCGGAAAATTTAGTGTCAGGATCTAAATACATTTTTTCGGATAAATAAAATCAACAATTTTGTCAGAAAGAAGAGATCTTTAATACAACCGAAGCCACTGAAAACACCTGGGTGGTGCTCCAGCCCAGTGTAAACCGGAGCTGAATTTCGAATAAATGAAGATCCTGTGTGTTACGCATCCCATCAGCAACAGCTGTTAACTAAAAGTGCGACGGGAATGACAACTGTGGTCTCCTAGCTGAAATTTCCGGAGAACTTTAAATTTGTCAGCATTCGACCTCGAGAGTTTGGTTCCAGAATTCATTTTTCATCATACATAAAACACGAATATGATCACATTTCGGGAAGAAGCACATACGTTTCAAGCAGGTCGGTTTCATTATTATCAAGTGGGATCACTGATGATCGATAAGAAGCAAGTGTGCAGCTAAATAATTTAGAAAACGGTTGACGAGATTTCGAAAGGGGAAAGAAAAAAGGAAAGGAGGGAAATAATTTAATATGGAAATTTTCAAATCATTACTCTGAGATGTTTCAAAACATTGGCTTTTGAATAAATATGTCGGGAGTTTCTTCCAACAACAAAAAAAACTATAAAATGTGATTTGAAACTCCTTTTAATATTAAAAAAAGCAAAGACTAAGAAAAAATGACCGAATAGATTGGAGTGTAACCCGTTTTAGCCGACGACCACCTTTCCGGTGTCTTCTCTTCCAGCCATTCGTGGCTTTCCAACGGTGAATGGAATGTAACGGTACTTGATCATGTGCTGCAAATAATATTGACTGATAGAGATGAAAAACCCGTTCTTAAATACCATGATTTGTCTTTTCAGCGTAAGGAAGGTGAGAATGAAGAAGTACATGACAAGAATTGGCCAAAAGACTGGAACGTCGAAGAACTCGAAGAATGTGCATGTGATGGCAATGAGGGTGGCTTTCATGAACGAGTGCCTGAAAATACAATAAGGAAACTCTTCTTCTTTTTATGGAAGTTGATAGAAATCCTACCAGAACTTGAACTCCGGCAATCTGCGCATGAATGGGCGGAATTCGTCGTTGGTCTTTGATGGGAGAACTGGTCCATCATCTTCATCCTGAAAGGAAAACGGAAGTAGTTTTCAATTAGATGCGCAAATAAAATTACCTCGAACTGCAGAGCTGGGTCTATTGAGGGCGTCAAGAATAGAAGGAAAAGGTTCAAATAGTAGATACCGACTGCATATGCAACGATGTAGAATCCCTGAAAATGTTTTAGTAACGTATCAGACCTTTATTTCTCAACTATTCAAAATATATTTCTTTGGCAGTTTTCAAAAACTAGGTGTTTGCAAATGGAAAAATTTTCCCATGGTCTGATTAGCCAACTTTTCGAGAACCATCAGATTCCTTCCTTTCGTGCAGTTTCGCCTTCTTTCCGATTTAAAATCTCTCACTTCGAAACGCTGTAAACGTTTCAGGCTTGAAAATACAGCTTACCTGGAGAAGCACGATTCTGGAGGCGAAGAAGACAAGAGAGATCAAAGCGATGACCCAACGAAGAGCTGTATGTGGTGTCAGACGATCCAGATAGTACTGGTACTTCTTAAACATATCGTTATTAATTGAGAAGAGCTAACAATAAAACATACCACTTCCAAACTGTGGAAGAAGCGGGATGTTACTCCTGGCCTGTCTCTGAGTCCGTCGTCCATATTTATTACCTGTAAAAAGTGATAATTAAGTTGGAAGAGCTTATTGTAAAAATTAGGGACACGATTTGACACAGAAAAATTACAGAAAGGCGTTAAATTTAGCTGAAAACTGATGAAATATTGATTCAGAACTCGGTAGAAACACGTCAGGGAAGACGCAAACACCACCACGACAACGCGCACACATTGAAACGAAGAAAAGTAGGGAAAAGAGACTCCACCGATTCCGAGGAAGGAAGATTTTCTCTCTGTCTAAACTAGCAATCAGCATTAGAGTAATGTAGAGTTAAAGCAGAATTATATTTTCAAGATTTCAAAAATTCAGCAGATGTTGAAGATTTCATTAAAATGATGTTCTCATCGAAAAAGGCAATTTGCGTTCTCATCGAAAAAGGCAATCCAAATCAGAACAAATTTTTATTTATTAGGTCTTGACAGTGAGCGCGAAGGAACATGACTTTTTTGACTTGATGGTTTTATGACGATTACAGTAACCCTTTGCTCATGCTCCAAAACTGTTCCAGAAGAATTTATCTCAAGAAAACATTGTTTTTGACAAATGTTTTTAGACGCTTTTCCTCTAAAATTCGGTTCAATTTGCAGGTTAAACCATGATTGACATTGATGAAGTCAGCTTGCCGGTGCTCATCGCTGGCTTTGTCGGTTTCGTCACAGTTATGGGAGGATTCATTATATATGTGGCAAAACAAGAGAAGAAAGGAGAACAGGAGGAAATGTAAGGGTTGAGAAAAAGAATCTAACAATTCAGTGACTTTAGTGATGTTGTGATGGACGAAGTCACCGAAACCGTGATCAGCGAGGAGCCAGGAAAGAAGAGCAAGCATCAAAGGAAGAATGATCAGTGGAAGGTTTGGTTGATAACATAAGAAAGAAATAATGTGTTGAATTTCAGACAAAAGATCCGTCTTTCTCACATGCATGGAATGTATCTGTCTTGAAAGGACATACAAAGGATGTGACGGATATTGCGTTTGCCTCGGACGGAAAGAAGTTCGTTTCGATTTCAGGAGATCGCACAGTGTTTCTTTGGGATGTGAGAGATTTCGAGAACAAGGAGCATAAGTCAGTTCGGCAGACTCTGGATTATGACACTCCGACGCGGGTTGTGTTCGCTCCGGATTGCAAAAGCGTTGTTTTCAGTGTGAAGCGCGATAACAATGTATGGGGAACTTTATTATTTGCTGCAAGTAAAAAAAGTATTTTTTAGATCTGCGTCTATAGGCTGGTAAAGAAGGCGGAAGGATCTGGATCGCACCATTTTGCGCATATCGAAAATCTCCAATTTGAACGAGTTCATCAAGTCGACATTCAAAATATCGGAATAGCAGGAAATGGTAAACAATTTTCCTTTTAAATTTGAGTATATCTTACATTGGCAGCCAAATATTTGATGAGCGCAGCTCTGGACAACAAAATCTGCTTGTATGATCTTCATGGTCATCTTCTAAAATCGATCGACGCCAAAGTGAGCAGTTTGCACGATTGCCGTCTTTCTCCAGATGGCCGGTTTATCATCGCATCCGGATTCACACCCGATGTTTTCGTGTTCGAACCAGTGTTTTCTAGAGATGGAGTTTTCCAAAGTGCGAAAAAAGTATTCGCACTCAGTGTATGTCCATCATTTATGGTTTGCTATGATATTCAATTATCTTCTAGGGACAACAGTCAGGTGTTCTCGGTGCTGCTTTCAATGCTACTTCAACTCGTGCAGTGACAATCTCAAGAGACGGAAAGTGGAGAATTTTCGACACAGACATTCGCTATGAGGCCGGGCAAGATGCCAAGATAATTAGAGAGTGAGTTGAAAGAACAAGTGGAAGAATGGCTGACGAAGTAAACAGAGAAGTTGCCTAGGCAACGAAAACGGGTTGACGTCTAGCACATGGAGGCTCGTCGCTGATAAAAATGCATTCGTTTTGTATAGTGAATGGCTGCACTAGAGAGAATAATATATGTCTGCTTTCAGGGGAAGCTGGGAGCCATTGCGAGGAGCAACAAGCGAAAAGGTGAAATTAGAAATGAGTCCAAGTGGTGACTCGTTTGCCGTCTCCTTCACAACTGACCTCAAAGTGTTCTCTTCGGAGGACGAAACAAAGGATTATCCAGAATGTAATATTATCACAAAAATCTTCAGAACTATTAATGTGAATTTCAGTAAAATACATTTGCTCTACGACTATCAGCTCTATCGCCTACTCCTCTGACGGAAAATACATCGCAACCTGTGGCGACAAATACGTTCGTATTATCAGAAACGTTCCAGAGTGGCATAGTCGAGTTGTGAAGCTGACTCGAGAACTTCCGGAGACCACACAGGAAGGAGCAAGACGTCGTATCAAGGAGCAGATTGAAGAAGCTCAACAACTTCTGAAGCAATTCGACATTTAGTTATTTCTGTTATCAAGTGTTAACTTTTCATGTTTCATAAGGGTTTTTTCGTACATTTTTGATTTCACTTTATAAATACGTGTAAGATTGATAGGTTTTGATGGCTCTGCTCCTACTGTGATTACTCCTGTGATCATCATATTTCAATTGCAATCTGATGCATGGGAAAGTATTACCCTTCCCAAATCAGATATTTCAGATGTCTTACGCTCAATATGGAGGGTCCGGGCGAAACCCTGGCGTTGAAGCGAGAATAGTGGGAAATCTGAAACTTGAATACACTTCATTTGAAGATAGTGTTACCCCAGGAACGACAGAACGGCCACTCTTAATGGAAAACATGCTCCGTCAGAAGAATGTCAGTATAGATGTAATGGAAGGATACAATCCAATAATTCCAGAATCTGTTGTGAGATTCATATCAAGTTTTACGGAGGGTATTCCCTTTTTCAGAACCAACACTCCATCTATCACTTGTATGAATACGAATCACAGACTAAGTTTTTGGATAAGATCCCACGTCCACTGATCGGTGATACTGAATTTGTAAGAATTCTGTCAAAAATTTTCGAGTTTTTTATCCTCAGTTTTCAGCGAACGAGATTCCTTTGCTGTCGCTATGTGATTTGCAGTATTGACGATTGGATGACCCGTCGCAAACCCGCTGAATTATTGGCAATTCGAAAAAATGGTGACATCTATATCGGTGCCAATAAGTCTCTTGAAGAGTGCGAATTCGTACAAAGTGAAGTAAAATTTTAATTTATTTTAGGAATTCTTCTAGCACTAACGAAGCTGCTTATGGAGGTTTGAACTTCGGGACTAAAGTCACACATCGAGCAACACCTTTTGAGTCACGCAAGCACCATTCCGTCGTCAAGCAATGGTACCTAGAAAACAGGAAAACCCACCGATCCATGAGCATTTTCATCTCGAGTGTTGCACGAGCATTCGACTCACGCGGAGAAGTCGTCGAACTGAAGACTGTTGGATCAAAAGTGCAGGGAAAAATTCAGAACCTTCCAGGAGCAAAGGCACGTAACTGGTGGCTCCGAGCGCTCTTAAGCGGAGCAACTCGTATTGTGTACGGTCTTCGAATGGATGACATGATTGTGAATGAAGTAACTTGTGGTCTTGCCTAAAAATTATTATAAGTATCTATTTCAGATCCTCGAAGCACACATTGATGAATTCACACATGGTCATTTCAAATTCTCCGCGACGCGTCTGTTCACAGAAATCTACAAAATCTTTGAAAAAGTTGACAAGAAGCTTTCAAATGAAGGAGATATGTGCCTGGTACTCATAATCCTCAGATTTCTTGTACTAGTTTAAATCTTTCAGATCACTCTTCAAAGGTATGATGTCGATATCACTATTGCCAATGACGACGATTTGAACAAAAGCCCGTTTTGGTGAAGAAAGTCAACTAATTCCTACCACAATATTAAACCATATTTTATCCAACCGATACTCAACTTTCACCCGATCAGGTCTTTCAAGAAAACATTTCTTTGTTACATTCCCGAAATATTATATCTTTTACTGCTCTTGTTAAGGCTCTTTGACTACTCTTTGACTACATCTACTCTTTGACTCCACATTGACTCCATGCCTTAATACCGTTAATACCGTTTTATCCCATTACTCCCATCCTCTATTCTTCCCGATAAAAAGGTTTCTATTATCGGCGTTTTTATTTGTAGTTTCTTCCAATAATTTTAACACTATTAGGTGGAAGCACTGATAAGAAGTTGCGAATGTACGCGTTGTGCTAGTTTTTGATCTATACCTTGCTGATCCTCTTTGTTATAGACTGTAGTATTCCACAACGGTTTTTGCGTTTTTTTTTTCGTTTGCATGGATATCCTTCTTTCTTAATTAAACATGATTCATTTGTATTGGTGTTTTGCTGTATTCTGGAGTTTTATTCATGGAGCCACTATTCCACCGGTAAAAGATGGAGAAATGGAACTCAAAATGGTTCATGTTGTGAGTCGAAAAAATTAGTTATTGTCATATTATTCTGGTATAAAAAATCAGAGCTGTGGAAGAGGAACGTCGGTCCCACAACGACACCTACCGTAACTTACTTGTTAGAAATATATTCATTTTTCGTATTTAGTTATTTTTCCTTGTTATTTTTCCCAAAAAAAACCGGGAAAGAAAAAATTTTGATGGAAAAAAATTGGCTGAAAACGCGAGATAGTAAATCCGGAAAAATTAAAATCTTTTTAGGTTACGGTAGTTTTCATTATGAGACCTTTGACGGCCGCCAACGGTGCTTCTCTTCCGCATCTGTTTTTTGTACCAGAATAATAGAAGGATATTTAGAGTGAACGAGTTATTAAACGGGTTCACTCTAATAGAAGGGCACTCAGGAGAAACCCCAGAACAATAGAAGGTCATCTTCTAATACACATTTTACGGTGGATTTCTAGGTCTGGAGACACGGAGACCGCTCGCCGACGACTACATACAACGCAGACCCATTTCAAGAGGACTCTTGGACATTTGGAGGCGGTGGATGGGGACAACTATCACCAGTGAGCTCTGACATTTTTAAGTATTTTAAATCTTTGAAAATATTTTTCCAGTCTGGAATGTTCCAACATTTACAACTTGGAAAAAAACTTCGTAATAGATATGTGAACACTGGAAACTCGACATATAACTTTCTTCCGGCCGTATACGATCAGAAAACAATGTATATTCGGTCGACTGGAATAAATAGAACCCTGATTTCGGCTACGTCGAACATGCTTGGAATGTATGGACAAGACGGATATGGGAGCACAGCTGGAATTGATTTCCCTGATGCGGTTGGATGGCCACGTGGATTTGTTCCAATCCCAATTCACACTGTAGATTATGATTCGGATCATGTAAGACATGGAAACTCTTTGTTATAAAATTAGACATTCAGATAGGCAACATGGACAGTGATTGCCCTCGTCGGGAATGGCTCTGGAATTTGGCGCAGCAATCCGATGAAATGAAAGCGTGGCGAAGTTCTAGTTCAGTGAGATCTGTGTTCAATAATTTGACTGCATTAGTTAATCAGAAATGGAGTCTCGAAGATTTCTGGGTTGTTCCTGATGCATTGTTTATTGAACAGATTTATTTCAACGAAACCCTTCGTCAGAAAAATCTATGGTTCACTGATGATTTTTACAACCAAATTGTAGCTGTGAATGATCAAATCTATATGTATGAATATGGAATATTCAGTATGTGACGATACAGTTATGAGAGAAAGAATTATTGTTTTCAGATAAGACTGTGACGATGCAAAACTTGAACATTGGACTAGAACTTTTGAAAATCAGATCTGGTCCGTTGATGAATGATATGATTGATAGGATCAATAAAAAGAGTGCTTGCACTTACAAAAAGAACGAAACGGGATGTAATTGGATCAATGGATTGAAATATTTTGTTTACTCGGCCGTGAGTTACATAACTGCTGGAAATTCCAAGAATTCAGAAATCAGCTGATTTATTTTCAGCACGACGAAACTGTATATTCCGTACTAGTGGCTCTTGGTCTCGAAAGGTTCGCTATCATACCACATGGTTATCCGCTTTATTCTGCTGCAGTTGTTGTGGAGTATTGGAGAAATTCGACGGATAACAATGATTATTTCAAAGTAAATTTGTTACAAGAAATTCATTTAATGTAACTCCAATCTTTCAGTTAGTGTACCATAAGCAATCTGGAGATGATTTCACAGTGATGACAAATGAAATTGAAGAATGTGACAGGGACTACTGTAGAATGGATGTACTGGAACAAGTCGCCAAAAAGCTGAAACCAGACCAACCGATTGATCAATGGTGCCTCGTTACCGAATCTTCTGGATCTTACTCCATCTCAATCTCATTTTTGAGCTTTTTAATTGTCATCTACAATTTTTTCCTCTTGTAAAATATGCACAAATTTTAGAATATAAAGATTTATTGAATATCTGACATATACTTATAAATACTTTAAAACATATATTATGGCAATTATGTGCGTAGGGAGGTTTGATAGAAAGAAACATCTAACGTCTTCTCTTTCTGCAGCATTGATTGTTTCCACAGATGGAGAAGCCGGTAGAGCAATTACACTTGGAGCCGCTCATTGCACATGGCTCAACTTGTAGAGGACAGTTCTGTTCGCAAGCATTTTGACACGCTGGAACACAGAATTCAACTTGGGTCAGAAGTTGGGTTTTGCATTGATCGACGCATTGGCTAGCACATTGTGGCGCGCATTGAACAGTTTCTTCCATTGGCTTCTGGAGGATGATTTCAAGTCTGAATGTGGGTTCAGCAGACTCTTTCACTATCTGAAAATTTAATTATATTGGAAATTTGTATGATTGAAACACATACTTCTACACATGAGGATCTACAACTGTCCGTGCATGCTGTACTGCATTGTGGAACACTTTGGCTGTTTTGTTGAACACATGATGTTTGACATGATTGAGTGCAAGCCGGCATACAGTTGTTGTCCGCCTGAATCTTATCCTCAATGAATGACCTAACAATTTCACAAACCTGTGGAATGACAATTTCGAATTGATAATTCTGAATGCACTTGGAATCACAAGCTGGTTGACAAGCTGGAGCACATTGCTTGGAAGAGTCACTCATTGGAAGAGTGAATGTATAAGTCTCTACACAAGATGGTTGACAAGCTGGCTGACACTGTGGCTGGCACATGGATGGAGATGGTGTAGTGACTGCTGGAAGTTTCAAAGTGAAACTGATGCACTGTGGATCACAAGCTGGTTGACACTGTGGAGCGCATGATGGAGCTACCGTAGTCATTGGAATGGAGATTGAGAAGGTTGCCTGAGAGATATGAAGTGAATCGTCATACGGTATTCCTGATTACCTGTTGAACACACTCCTGAGAACACGCCGGTTGGCATTGAGGAGCGCAGCTCTTTGTGATTGGAATGGTTGTTTGAACAGTGATTTGTTGAACACAAAGAGGTTCGCAGGCCGGTTGACATGCCGATGGACAGCTGTTTCCTTGATTCACTTTCGCATAACTCTGCTGGACAGTCACCTGGTATTGGGATTGGATACAAGATTGCTCGCAAGCTGGCTGACAAGCTGGAACGCAGTTGTATTGACGTTGCTGATATTGTTGAGAATTCATTTGTTGGACTTGAATCTTGTAAGTCTGAATGCATTGTTGATCGCACGATGGTTGGCATTGAGGAATGCATTGTGGAGCTTGAGTTGTAGATGGCATATCATCAATCATCTTGATTTGAACTGCGAAGTTTGGTTGAGCAGCGACACATTCCTGAGTACAAGCTGGCTGACATTGTGGGACACAGGATGGGGCTGGTTGGGAATATTGTTGCTGCTGCTGTTGATAGCTACTCTTGATTTTCAAAACAATCTGAGCCACAATACACTTGGTTTCACACGCTGGCTGACACTCTGGAACACATTGTTTCGGCATCGAGATAGTTGTTGTAAAGGTCTCCATGCATGATGGAAGACATGCTGGCTGGCACTGTGATACGCATTGAAGTGGAGCTGGAGTGTTGGTGTAGATGGCAACACACCCTGGATCGCAAGCTGGCTGACAGACAGAAATGCAGACTTTGGTGACTGGCGGAACTGTTGAAACTCCAGATGAGAGATATTGGTAGACGCATTGTGGTTGGCACGCAGGTTGACAAGCTGGGATACACGATTCTTGAGCTGGAGCTCTGGTTGTTCCAGCAGTCACTATCTGGATCTGTAGTTGTCTCTCGACACAATGGGGTTGACATGCTGGCTGACAGGCTGGGATACACGTTTCAGTGGTAGTTGTTACAGCTTGGACACATTGTGGAGTACAAGCTGGCTGGCAAGCTGGGATACAAGATGCAGCTGTTGGTTGTTGTGTTGTTTGAATGGACACTGTCCCTGACTGAATGCATTGGGGAGAACAGGTCGGTTGGCATTGAGATGGACATTGTTGGACAACTGGCAACTTTTGAATAATCACTTCATATCGCTTCATTACGTCGATACATTGAGCATCACAAGTTGGTTGACAAGCTGGAACGCATGAGCTGACTGGAGCTGCTGTCGTAGTCTGAAAATTCGAAATACTGAGGAAAATGTGAAAATTGATTCCTTACCGAAGTTCGCATGAATTCCTTGACATTGATAGAAACTGCTGCTTGAATACAAGTTGGCTCACAAGATTTCAAACACATATTGATGCATGTAGACTTGTTCGGTTGGGTAGTACAACTGTTACTGCATGATTGAGCGCATGCTTGTGGGCATTGGGATGCTTTGGTTTGTTGGTTAACCACAACCTGAAAATCAGAGATTACTGGAAGAATATTTGAAGCTTATACCTTGATTGGTGGGAAATTGGATGAGCTTGAACTGCTTGAAGTTGATGGGGAGCACGCTTTGCTGCAAGTGAACTGACAAGTTTTATCACACAAAATCTGCGGTTGGTGAGAATTTCTGACACAAGAGTCAACGCAAGACTTTTGGCACTGTGGTTGGCATACTGAAGTCTGAGCCTGCAAATTTTATTAATTCATGATAAAGATATGGATTCATCCAATAATCACTTTGTTAGCACAGGAGCATGAACTGGATTGGGGCTCATTTGAGCATTTACATCTTTGCATTCCACTTCCGATTGGATAACAATTGCATTTCGACTTCTGAGACAGTTGTGCACACGGACATTGTCGTTTGGCTCGTGTGATTAGACTCTGAAAGATATGCATAATCTACGTGATATCTGGTGTTTGCTTTAATAAATTTGGCATCTTTGTGTGTTTGTTTGTTCTCGTGTTTGTGTACGTTTAAGGAGGAGAAAAGTGTCAATGATGGCGGAACCAAAAAGCAGACGGCCGGACGGAATGGGATATTAGATCTACTTGAGAAAGGCATCGGGACACTTTCATGCTAAGGTCAGCATGGGATGCGACAGGGATAAAAGAACATGGGATACGATTGAATAGAAGATTGATCTGAATGGTCTTGAAGTACTATAACTAGTTCGCGTAGTTAGAAAGTGTTGTAATTCTTTCGTTGTGTGAAGTTTATTGTACAAAATGGAAAAGAGAATGATAAGCAAGCATTTCTGAACGTTCGACCTAATTTTCAAAAGTTGGAAAATTGCGACTGGTAGTAAAGAATGTTGAGAAGTTATAATTGAGAAGTAGAGGTAAAAAACTGACAGTGAGAGAAAATCCAAAGTAAATCAGAAAAAATATCATGACTCATTCCGATTAGAACTACTACCGTATTTTCTCTAATACAAGCCCCTCCAAACTGTAAACTTTGAGCTCGATTATCTCGAATTCAGTGAAAGATATAAAACAACTGTCCATTGATAAATTATTTACCATTATAGCACCAATATTTTATCAGATGACAAAATTTTGATATCTTTTACAGGAATCGAGATTATTGAGCTCAAATGAACGGTTTGGGTGGGCTATTACTTAAAAAACTATTACTTAAAAAGTTCGAATCGCAGAAACCATTGTTTAGTCTGGAAAAGTTGGGTAGATTTAAAAATGGAAAAAAAAACAGGAAAAAATGATAAAAGTTAACTAAAAAGGTTACCTGTTGAGATTGAACAAGATATGCTCCAATTAAAAGAATAAATAAAATATAGTTCGTCTTCATATTATGATGATATCGTTGAAAAATGTTCGTCTACCTTCTCCACCGGTACACTGATGTCTGTATACGGTCGGTGTTGCTCCTTGTCTTTTCTTCGTTTTCGCCGCCGTCGCCACTGTCTTTTATACAAATCGCCCATGTTCCGCGCGGTAGCCATTAGGCGGCAAAAAATTGGGAGATGCTCCTCCTTCCGGAGTCTGTCGTCGGCAGAAAAAGATGCACCAGGAAGGGAATTTACAAGAAAAAGTGAGAGAGAATGGAGGCAAAAAACGGATCAACTTTTTGAACGCTTTGCCGCAAGAAAGAGATGACGGTGTTTCAGGTCTCACGAATGCTTGACTCGATTTATAAAAAAGTGTCGAAAGTCGCAGCTCTCCGTGTAGTATGTGTATTGACAATAGAAATCTCCCCCATTTGTTCTTTGGATTGACCGGTGAGACTTCCAGATTCCCACGATCCGTTCCATGGTTTTTAAAGAAGAAGGAACTGACTTGAAAAGACTTTAGTTTTCACATGACTGTCTTGAACTGGTCCCTATGAGTTCTGTTGTGCTGAAAGTTGCATTATCGCTTGATCTATTAGGTTGGCGGGAAAGTCTTTGTCACTTTTTCAATAGTTTATTTCTCAAAGAAAAAATAACCGAATAATTAATTATATTGTCCATCATTATCAACAACATGTCTCCAACGTTCCCTCAATTTATGGATTCCATTGCGGTAGAATCCAGCCGGGCGTGAGGCAAAGTATTGTTTGAGTGCCGCTTCGACCGCTCCACGGGAATTAAGCTTCTTCCTTCGAAGGCACGTGTCATATCGCCAAATAACCAATAGTCGGAAGGAGCAAGATCAGGAGAATACGGGGGGTGAGGGAGAACATTCCATCCATATCCCATCAGCTCCTGCTTCACTTGTTTCGAAACATGTGGGCGAGCGTTATCATGTTGATAGTACACTTTCTTGTCTTTCAGGGCCGAACGGTCGACTGCTTTCTTGAGGTTTCGTAGTTGAGTAGTGTAGAGGTCTCCAGTTATTGTTTTGCCCTCGGGCAGAAGTTCCCAGTAGATGGGGCCGTCCACTCCCCACCACACAGAGAGCATAACTTTTTTCGGATGAAGGTCGGGTTTGGGGACATCCTGTGGGCTCTCTCCTTCTCCAACCCACTGGGATTTCCTGTGGTGATTATCGTAGAAGACCCACTTCTCATCTCCGGTTATTAGCCGGTCCAGCCATCGATCGCCCGCGTGGAGAGTGAGAAGAGTAATCGAATCGTCGACTCGGCGGTCAAGGTTGGCTTGAGTCAGGTGATGAGGTATGAATCGACCAAAAAGTTTTCTCATTCCAAGAGACTTCAAACCTTCAAGGACTGTGCTATGGTGAACTCCGAATGTGACAGCTAGTTCACGGCTAGATTGAAATGGATCCGATTGCAATGCGTGCTTCAGCTTGTCCAAATCCAACTCACGGGGTCTCCCAGAGCGATCCTTTTCATCGAGCGAGAAGTCATCTTTTTCGAAACGATGGAACCAATTGCGAATAGTATTGTAGTGAGGGGCATGTGTGTTGTACACATTCTTCAAGAAAGTTTCCGAATCCTTCATCGTGGTGTGAGATAGGAAGAGGTAAATCAAAACATGTCTGATGTGAATAGCAGTGGGAACAAACATATCGTTTCAATTACAGATGAGGAGCAGGGAAGGAAATGGGGACTTGTTTATATGGAAGGTTCTTATCACCTTGTTATTCACTAGAGTCGATATCATACACAGCCTCCATATACGAGAACAGTGATTAAACAAACAGAGTGACAAAGACTTTCCCGCCAACCTAATAAAAGTGGCAATTCTGTATTCCTCCTGTGCTCCTTTGATTCCTTTGGAAAATAGATAGAGTTTATGGAAACTCATTGTTTTCATCGGCATTTCCATTCTTGTTTTGTTTTGTCAAACAGTAATTTGTCAAACAGAAAAATTGGCAAATGTGCCTTGCAAAAAGTGATCATTTGATGCTCGACTATGCGCAAGCATGTTCCTCCTCCTGCTGATTCTTCTCGCCTCCACCACAAAAATGTTTCTATTCCATCAGAGCCAAGTAGTTATTCTTTTCTCTTCCGCCAATGTCCGAGTGAAGTGACTAAAACCGTAAACACACAAAACATTATCCCTTCCTTCTCCCTCTCTCGCTTCAACCATGCATCTGATTTTTGACTGTTGCGGAGGATTAAATGTGAATGAAACAAAACGAGTGCTGTCGTCGAGACAGGAGAGACCCCTTTCTTCCTTTTTCGAAAAAATGCCATCCATCCTTTTTTTGTAATCGAGATGGCGGAAGAAAAAAAACTTGGGCTCATTTTGACCGATGGTTGTAGAGATTGATGGATGATAGAACACACGCGTTCAGACAGAGACCAGTGATGGATCGGGGGTTATGACTCACTTGTTGCTTATATTTAAAAAACGAAAAAGCCAAAATATCATGATTGGAAGTAATTATGACGAGACCTGGTTTTGAAAACTTCTTTCAGAAAAAAATTATTACGTACCCTTCGAAAAGATATACAAAAACATATTTTTCTGAGGATTTTCGCCGATTTTGACCATTTTCAGAAGCTTACAATTAGATCTCGACTGTCAAGTTTCCAATCACTGTGAGAATTTTGAAGTATGTAAAACAGATTGAAAACGTTGCATTCACAGAATTTTTCGAATGTTCCTAGTTTTTCATTTTTTTGCCGATTTCTGAAGGACACCACCCCTTTTTGGCCCTTTCTCTACTGATAACGTGAAAAAACAAGTGTTTTTCAGAAGTCGTCAAATAGCTGAAAAACCAGAAATTTCAGTAAAATTCGGTGAATCAATCTTTTCAATCTAGGTCTGTTTTACACCATCCGAAATTTTCAAAGTGATCAGAAACATGACGATCCAGACTCCTAAGAATGATCAAAATGATCGAAATTTAACTGAAAAATACGTTTTTTGTATATCTTATTGACCGGTACTGTACCCCAAACTTTCAAATGAGCATCAGTATCTTGAAAATAACTTTTCTCAAATTCATTCATTTCCGAAACCCTATCCAGTTCCCCAAACTCATTTCCATTCGATTCTCTTGTCACTTTGTACCCACATAATAATAACTATAATAACCCTTTTCCGACTCCACTAAAACAATTCGAGAGTGACGTTATTCCCCTAAACAGCTGAAAACACATTCTTTCCGTCAAATGTGGAAAACCAGAAGTGCAACTTCTGATATATTCAGAGAATCGAAACTTTTTAAAAGGCAAGCATGAACATGTGAAAAGCCATGAACAGCGTAAAAAAGAGAGTGCGTTTGCACCAGTCATATAAATCTGTTCTGTCAACTATTTTTTTCTTCCGTTGAACTTGTTCCTATGGGGGGGGGGGAACTATAGTTTCTCCAAGAACGCTTTGGAGAAGAGATTCAGGAAAGAATTTGAATTAGGGTCCAGAAAAAAAACAACATTTAGGTTAGCCTAGAATTATCAGTCATTTGTTGAAATTCGTTCCAGCTCCTGCCTGAATTTATTTTAAGAACGCGACATCACGAAAATGCCTAAAATAAGTGGCGCCTGAAATTTTCGGTCTGGTACGTAAATTCTGAAATTCGTTAAACTTTCATCTTTTGAAAAAGGGAAGTTCTTTTATCCTGTGCAAATATTTAGGTTGAAAAAAGAAAAAGAGGATTTCGGATGTAGTTTATTCTGTCCTTTTCACCCGAAACAATTTATCCGGATTGACCGCCAGTGTTCCTCAATTTGAGCCGTCTATGTGTGTTTTGCTTTTTATCCTAAATATTAAAAGTGTCTGTGTGAAAATCTTTCTAGACTGTTCTTTTGTAATCCGATACCGTAATCTGACACTTTTCGATTTGTTTCTGTTTCAACAAGGTTTGACCATAACCCGGGCGGCACCAGTTTCCGGTTGCTTTTTTGATTTTTCAGCACACGCATTTTTGTTTTGATTCCATTCAACGTGTCTTTTCTATTGTTGACTGTCTTCTGGAGATACCACGTAACACGAAACTTTCCAGCTCTCTTCCTCATTTTGACCATCCCATTGTTATTTGTGTGCAAATGAACAATGCTGACGCGGAGCAGCACAAATGTGTGAATGAGCAAGCAAGGTGTGCGGGGGGATGGGCAGCAACCGATCTTCGATTTGATCTTTAGGTTGATTTCTTCCGGTAGAAATGGCAGAGTTAACGAGTCGGAAGACAAGAAAAAGGGGGATGAGAGCAATGAGTCAGTGATTATATTTTTGGAGAAGAGGAGAATAGAGTCTTGACATTTTTAGATGATCAGAGTTCTAACGAAGTATGTAATCTCATGTAGAAGAGATAAGTGGATTAAAAGAAAATCTACTGGGTACTCGTTTCAGTAAGATTGGACGAGACAAGGATCATCCGTGGCCGAAGGTCTCACAGCGACAACTACCGTAACCTAATTTTTTTTTCATTTTCCAAGACGATTATCTCGATTTTTGGGCGTTTTCAGTCAATTTTTCACAATCAACATTTTTTTCCGACAACTCGCAGTCAAAAAGAAAATGAATCCGGAAAATAAAATGATTTTTCAATTACGGTAGCTGTCGTTATAGGATCTTCGGCATTCCAGAATAATAAAATATTCAGAAATAATCCCAATTCAAACAATGTTAGGAGAATTTCAAGTTAGCAACACAAAGTTTTCAAAATCAAAACTTCAAACATTTTCAAATTGTCCCGAAAATTGCAATTTTGAATAATTTTTTTAAAGGTTTAATTGCTTTCATCTTGCCTATATACATTTAATTTTGAGAGTCTAATTTCTTCATTTGCTCTATTCCGAGATTTGTTCCATTATTCCGTGTAAGATTCAGAAACCTACCAACACTTTTCATTGAATCTTGAATCTTTTGTGCATTCAACGCAACTCAACTAGTCATCTTCTCTATTTTCAGATGAAATCTGACTCTCTCTCGCTCTTACTCACTAAGTAAGTTGCTTTGCCAGTGATCAAAGCTCTCCTAAATCCCCCAATTTCCTCACTTCCCTGTCACAAGATCCCAAAAAAAAAGTGATTGTTGAATACTTGCTTATTTTCCGAAAATAAGCAGAAAGACGAATGAAACAACTCTTTAGAAGTTATTGATAAACATCTAGTTTCTGAGTCTTTGATCTTTTCTTCTCTGAGTAAATAGAAAAAAGAGAACTCCCTAGTGAGCCACCCGTTCCCATTTATTCAGAAAATGATGGATGATCGTTGTTTTAAAAAAGGCATGCTCGTCAATAACTCCCGTCTCCTTTTTTTCAGACAGAAAAATGAGGCGAGATGAGCTGAAAAAAGGGAAGTAAAAAATGCGGGTGGTTTGGTTTCCGTTCTCTTATTGCAAAAACAAGAAGAGAAGAAGAGGAAGATATTATGAATCTTTCAAATATTTTTTTTTCTTGGGCATTAACCAATTCTTTTCTGTCCAAGATCTGAAATCAGAACAAGTTTTTTAGCTATATATGTCGATGTGATGTGTTGATTTGCACATATTTGTGAATATTGAGAAAATTGCCAGGAAAAAAAAAGTAGTGAGCATGGGAAAAAGGAAAATGAAGACTATTTCTAGAAGAAGTATAGATTGCTTATTGTCAGAATCAGGGAAAACTTGGTCTTTTGGTTTCAAGCATCACTGCTGCAGTCGGAGTTTTTGAGAATCGAGAATTGAAAAATGAGAACGTGAAGAGACTAACTTTTTATAATAGAACAGCCAAAAACAGGCAGGATTTTGTATCTATACATTTAGAGTCCTGAAACTAGAACATAATTTCAAATTAAGCTTTCAAAAGTAAATAATTCTGACACCATATACATTTTTCCCAAATTCAGAATACCATCTTTCGGGAGAAAACTTGTAGTAGAAGGGCCACCACACTGTCAAATTTGAGCTGGTTTTTCTTGGTCCCTGGGCTCCGCGTCACTTCGAAACCACGACATTTCGAAACCAGTGATTTCGAAACTGTGTGGCACTTCGAAACCAGTTATTTCAAAACCAAGTCGTTTTGAAACCGCGACACTTCGAAACCGGTCATTTCTAAACTACTAAATTTACAATCTACAATTTTTTTCTTTCATGTTAAGTTTTTTTTTCCTATTCTTAACTTCATTTTTACGTGACTGTGTTTTCTTCCGTTACGAAATGACCGGTTTCAAAGTGACTTGTTTCAAAATGTCGCGGTTTCGAAATGAACGGTTTCGAAATGACGGGTTTCGAAGTGTCACATCGTTTCGAAATAACCGGTTTCGAAGTGTCGCGGTTTCGAAGTGACGCGGAGTCGGTCAATAACTCATACCAGTGTTAACTTTTGACTATATCTTACAGTCAGATTTTTTATTTCCGGACAAAAGAACTTTTCCAATCACAAATGATATGGCTGTCATAATGCCCCATTCTTCAAAGATTCCCAGAAATAATGCATTCCGAGAAAAATGAGAACTCTTTATTTATTTGCAACTTTGCAAAACTTCCACTAATAAGGCACATAATTTCAAATAACTAATATTTTTTCCGGGATTCATTCATTGGTTTTGCATCCGACAAGATCCGACAACATCACGTAATCTTTCAATTTTGGCATAATTTTGTCCTTTCAAGTAGGTTCATCTCTGAATATCCAGAATGTCAACATGATATCATCAACTAATATTTGAGGATTTTCTAAAAATGGAATGGGATAAAATTGGTCCTTTTTGATATTTTTCTATTTTAAAACTCTGCAATGGAAAACTATAATTTTCAGATTTTCGCCGAAGCACAAGCATCCTGATCAGAGGTTCTGACTTTTTGAATCAGCTTCCATGAAATTGGTGCTACGAAACTTTTGGAGTTTGTCAGAACTTCCTGATGTGATCTGATCCAATAAACTTCTTTACGAGCGGTTCCAGCGAATTCATTATTTTTTCTAAACTGCATTTTGTGTGTGTATGTGCCCCCAGAAATATCCCATTTCTCTTTTCTTCTTCTTCTTCTCTCTATATAGCTCCCATCCACTTCCTCGTCTTCTCCCCTCCCGCTACACGAATAGCACACCAAAGTTCCTGCTTTGAAGGCGCGGCTGAGCAGTTCCGGGTTCCGGTCCTCTGCCTCTCTCTCTCGTCTTTTTTTTCTTTTTTTCCTTCCCCAATCTTTTCCTATTTCCTAATAATGTCTCTTCTCATCTTGTCGTCTTCCTCTCGGACCTATTCACTGCATTTTCAGCCCCACAGAGGCCGTTAAAAACACTCACTCAATGTCTGCTTTGCTGCTGAATCGTTCGTTTTTTTTTCAGATGTGTTCCCCTCCTCCTACTATTTGCGTTCTTTTCTTCTTCCTCCTACCACATCTCTCTCTCTCTTTTTACTTCCCTGTTCGCATTCTCGGTCTTTTGTTTCCATCGTAATCATTACTCTGTTGTTGATACATTCAACGCAGTGTTTTTTTTTTTGTCAAATTGTATTTTTTCAGGAGAAAAAAAAACTAGCTAAAAATCTAGATAGAGAATGTTTTGAAAAAGTTCATCTGAAAACTTTCCAGGCAAATTATTCTAAGATTCCGATTCAAAACTCGCAAAAAAAATTCAGACCCTAGCCTGCACTTCTAATCCTAAATTTTTAAATAAACGAGTATAATTCTGGTACAAAAAATCGGAGCTATGGAAGAGGAAATTTAGTGGACGTGGCTAAACATGCCCTATAACAAAAACCACCGTAGCAAAAATTTCTGATCCTTTTCGACAACTTTTGAATAGAAAACCTTCAGACAAGTCGGAAAATAAACTTTTTCTAAATCTAAAAAAATTCCGGAATAGAAAAATGAAAGTAAAAAAGTATTCGCTAACTACGGTATTTCGGTACGAGGCTTTCTCTTCCACAGCTCCGATTTAGTCCACCAAATAATTAAGATGTTTCCCTTGGGTTACTATATGAACTTTCTCGTCCTGTCTGGTGGGGCCTTTTCCCATTTTAAACCAGGCACTTCCTTTCCCGGTCGTATCGTATTTCGGTTTATTTTTGTGTTTTGATTCTTTAGTTTGTTGCTTTTTCAAGATTTATATTTTAAGAGCGGATTATTCTTATGGCTGGTTCCTGGAAAGATTTTTGAGGGTTTATCTTCTTATGTTTCAAGAAAGAGTTTTTTTTTTGAATACGCGGAAATGGAAGTAGAAAACAAGAGTTTAGGAATCATCCATCATTTTTATAGAGCTCTTTTCTCGGCATTTTAAATCACAATAGAAGTAATAACAGACTATTAAATATTTCATCATAATCTCTATTAGCGAAATGACTATATTTCTAAAAAGTTCAAAACTCTTTCCTATTTTTACTTCTTCCTTGTTTCTCTATATACATACATTTCTACCCTTCATAACAAGTAACTTTCTCTTATTACACTTCTAAAAATAGACTGCACTGAAGGTTGCTTTTCCGGGGAAGATAGGGAAACAAAAATAATCAAATTTGGCATAGGTTTTCTTTCTTAATTTATGTTAGTAACTTTGAGTAGGGTTAGGGGAAAATAAAGGGAATAACATCCCTGAAATATTGACGAATGTATTTTTAAAAATCAGATTGGGCTGTTGCACAGCATTCTATGAAAACCGCAATATCTGTAATAGAAGGTTCCTTTAACTTTTTAATCTTTGTGCAAATTTATCTCGGTTTCTGCGGGAGCCCTTCTGTTAAAGGTCTTACGGTAACCTTATGGTCGAGTTAGATTGACTGGGATCAAATTCCAAAAAAATGCTGTTTAAAGATCCTAAGCTGCAGAAAATCTGGAAGCGTGCATGGGAAAATGAGCGCTCAGAGATTCTCGGAAATGTAAGCGTCAATTTTTCTCAAGATCCGGTTGATCTTTCACAGCCACATAATTCTGCTTGGAATCTGTTTTGAATTAGAGTTGTGCTGTAACGGTTTTAACTGTCGTCAAACAGAATACCTAATCAACCTGATTCTTGAACTTATGTCCTATTAAAGTTGACGATTTATTGTTTTCCTCGAGAAGCCCTTGTCTCGCAAAAATTTACAAATCTTGTTGTTATTCTGGTACAAAAAACCGAGATGTGGAAGAGAAAAGCTTGTGGGCGTGGCCAAAGGTCCCCTTAACGAAAACGACCGTAACTTAAACTTTTCGGTCTGTTTTTTGCGTTTAAAACCTCCAAACAAGTCGGAAAATAACATTTCTCTAAATTGTTATTTTCCGACTTGTTTGGAGGCCTATTTTCCAGCGAATTTTTTCCTGAATCAGCAATCCGGATCCCATTTCCTCGTGATTCTTAAACGGATCGCACTTTTCATCTATTATGGTTTCATCGCTTTCTTATTCTTCCTCATCTGCTATCCTTGTTTTCTTCTTTTAACTACTTCTTTCCTCTCACTTTGCCCTCTCTGTTGTCCACCAAACATCAGAAGGTATTTCCAGACAGACATGATTTTCATTATTTCAATCCTTCTATTGTCTCTGCAAATCGGATTCTCCAATGCAGACCTTATGCGGACAGTGTACTGTGCCGACAAGTGCAACGACTATTTGAAAGTTCCAGAAAAAAACATTCCAAAGTGTGAAGACAGGCATCTCAAGCTGAATCAATGTGGAACTGGTACTGTAGTTTTTAATGATTCAGCATTCTAATTAATTTATTTTCAGTGATTTCCTGCTCATGGGCCGATGTAGAACTCGAAAAACAACGACCAATCGCCAACGCTACAGATGAGATTGTCTGCTGTTACAGTGTTGTCCTGGTTAGTTTCGAAATATCTAGTCGTTAATAAATCAGTGAATTTCAGAAAGAAAAAGGAGATTGCGATGCTCAACAAACACTATCCCCATCGAACAAGGTAAGGGAAATCTTTCAAAAACAGTTTGAATATCGAATTTCAGCATCCGCACCGACCAGTTCACCCCATGGATTGTTTTTCTCAAACTCCGGGACTGTTCTGCGTAATCGCCGTACTTTTAGTTCTATTGGCTGGACAGGTATGTAAAAATTAAACAATAATAATAATAGGATTAGAGGAGAAAAGGACATATTCGCTGAATTAGAAGATCCTGTGATTGTTACAGAAACTTATGATTAGAGTTTGTTGATTATGAAATGTACTCGTGTTTTAGGATTTAAAAAAAACATAGTAGTCTTGGAAACTTTAAAACCTTGTGAGAGGGTGTTTTTGATTAATGTAAACATTCAAAAATCCTACATTACCCTAAACATTCCAATAGAGTACCATCCGGGCCATCAACTTTGAGCCCATATATCTCATTTTCTGTAAAAGATGACAAGAAGTAGTCAACTGCTAAAATGTTTATCATAATATCAAAAATATTTTGTCCGTTTATCACTTTTTGATATCTTTCACAGAAAATAAGATATATAGGCTCAGAATTGGCAGTTTTTTTCAAGTTTGGAGTCTCGAATTTCAAGAAGTTTATTTATATCAAAATTTTAAACATGATTCCAAAATTTGTTTAGTATAGTTGTACACTGTTTGAAAGCTCATAAATTTCCTACAAATTTATACAGATATTGTCTATTTAGTTAAAAAAATGAAGAAAGTTATGCGCCTTTAAAGTTTTAGGCTTCAGAAGCGCGGGCTAAATCTTCAATAGGGTTAGGAAGCATGTTGTTTAGGTCAGGAATTTAAGTACGATTTCTGAATTTGGGTGGCACTCTATTAGAGTGTTTGCGGTTTATGTAATATCAATTTCTTCTAGAGCTTCTATATCATGTGGAGTTGCGCCTTCCAACGACGAATGTATCATCAGAAGGTGTGTCAGCTCGAAGAATCTACCGTGACCCATTCTCAAACACCCCTCTATACAGCCAAACCAATCTCTGAATCCCGACTTCTCTCATTCGAACAACTCTCCAGCAACTGATCTCTCATTACATTTATTGTAAATCCTACATCTTATTATTTCTTTTCTCTTCCCCCAATTTCGGGTCTTCCTTTCCAAAATTCTCTCATTTCAGTGAGTCTCTTGTTGTAACATTCTTGCTTCCCTTTCCCATTTTGCTTGTCCTATTTTTTCTCTTCCTTTTTTTCGTTTTCTCAATTATTTGTATGACAAATTCGGGTCAAACGGCGACAAAAATAAAAATAAATACAAATTGAATATATCGACACTTTTGACTTGTTATTTTGGCTGCTCTTCTCTTCCGCCGAAAACCCACAAATATTTGCAATTGCTTTCTAGAAAAATGAGCGATGAATTCGTGCTTCAAGAGCTCTTTTGGAATCTGGTTCTTCCCATAATTTCACCATAAAAGGCAACGCTTTATAGATTTTATGATCATCCCTAGAAACAGAAAAGATGAATCCTGCAATTCTTCTTTTTACCATACTCTTTCTATTACCCACATTAATTCAGTCTTGTGGATTCGGAGGCTTCGGAGGATACGGTCTTGGTCTAGGTATATTTCATTTATTTAATTTCTTTTTTGACTAGTTTCACTGTCAGTTGCCCCTTTCATTTAGGCCTGGGCTGTGGCGGAGGATACGGAGGCTTTTTTGGAGGAAGTTATGGTTTAGGTTACGGTGGCTACGGTGGTGGTTTTGGTGGATATGGAATGGGTGGATACGGTCTCGGTTACGGTGGATACGGAATGTTCGGTGGAGGATACGGTAGGTTTTAAAATGTTGTGCCAGATTATTTAAATTTCGTTCCTATAAAAATTCATTTTATTTCAGGGGGATGTGGTTACTCGATGATGGGCGGATGTTTTGGAAAGAAGAAGAAGTAGTTAAATTCCAATTTTATAAGAATCGATTTCTATTTTTTACATAAACATTCACACATTTGACATTTCGTTCAATTCTTTTTTTTTGCAACACTAAATTTCCCATGGGAAAACCAACAAGGGGAAGCAATAAAAGTGAGGAAGTGAAGTGCAAATGAATAATTGAAAAGTTTGGCGAGAGAAAAAAAGTGAACTAGCTACACAGAGAGAAAAAACCGATGAATGAACAAAGACGGTGGTGATGTATGGACCACGATTTTTAGAAGGACCAATGGAGCAGAGATCTCTTTTGGAGGCTTGGGAAAGTTCATAGAGTTTAGAACCCTTGACTCAATGAATAGGGATGTTTGGTTGAATCGAAAAAAAACTTAGCATAAAGGGTGTGAGAAAAGATAGAAGTCCAGTTTTCTAATAATGCCGAAAAAGTGATAGTTACTTGTTGTTCTGAAATTCGTAGAATTTGCAAAATCGAGACTTCTTGAGATTGAATTTCGATCACAATAATGGTTGATCGAAATTCACAATGATCCGAAAACTTAAGGTTAATTCCAGTGGCTTCAAGTTTCGTACAAGTTTTGAAAATTAGCTTTCTTAGAATTTTTGATATTTTTTGTTTTTCAACATTTTTAGAAAAAATCAAAAATTCCAAAAAACAGAACTTCCAATATTTAAAAATTCTAGAATATTTCAAAACTTTCTAAAGGTTCTAAAAATCAAAAATTTTGAAAACCGAAAGTTTTAGAAATTTGTAAAAAAAATATTTCCACAGAAATTTCGAAATCTCATCAGCCTGTTTCGAACTTATGGAGTTTTTAATTTCTCCTGAAAATCGAGAAGTAGTAAAAATTCCTCAAGTTCTAAAAATTACAAAATGTTCAACATCTAAAAAAATCTTTAAAATTTCGAAATACGAAGGTTTTTAAACAATCAAAAATTTTCAAACGTTTTACAAGTTCGAAAAGTTCTAAAAGTTCCAATAATCAAACAAATTCTGAAAATTCCAGAAGTTTCGAAAATCCCAAAAAACTAAAAAATCGACTTTTTGTAAACTTTCGCTTAGTTAAAATTGTTATGTAAACGGAACTGTGATCAGAACATTAAGCTACACTGATTCATACATCTATGTTGAGCCAAATCTGAATCGACCTGAGCTAGAATTCATCGCAAGTAAAGTTTTCCAATCATTCGAAAACGATTGTCTTTGAATATACATTTTTCTGAAGAGATGAACTCTTAGAGATCTCCGCTCATCAAATTCGTTTTCTTTCCAGGATAGCATCACACTTATCTCGGAAACATTCCTAATTATCTGAAATTTAGTTGGAAAATATAACTCCACAGATAAAACCTTTATTGTAAAAAACTGCGGAAATGGGAAACGGAGAACTGGAAGGGTCTGTAATAAAAGCATTACGTATACAGCAAATTGCTGGATATACTAGTATAATTCCTGATGAGCTAAGCATCCAGCGAGTTGCTGGATATACAATAGCCACAATTTTCAGAATCAAGCAATTGGAAAATCGGATGACCATTCGTTGAACTCCGATTTTCCCAAAAAAATCATTTAGTGTCTGATTCTCAGACGTTACGAAATGAAGTTCAAAGTAAGATCACTACTAACTCGATCTACTACTCTACAATGCTAGAAATGGTAGAAATATGAAAACACCAATACATTAGACTATTCAAATCTACTAATCATAAAAAGCATGTTCCATGGATTTGGGAGAGGCATGAGGTAGGAAGGACACATAGCGAGAGCGGATGAATGTAATAATGGAACATAGAGAGAGTAAAGATGTAGTTCCTAGTACAGAAGAAACGGGAAGGCATTATCCGGAGTCGTGAGCCATTTTGTTTGACAATTTTTAGCGAATTGCAGGTGATTGAACGGCTGAGCTCATACCGCTGATGGAATCGATCCGTTTGATTCTCAAACTTTGAATTCGATTTGTTTAGGATTGACGCTGGGTCAATATGGTTCTGAAATAGTTCAATTTGAATTTCGATAACGATAAGAACTACAAACCTGAACTCCTTAGTGGCATCAAAGCAGTTGTATTTTAAACTGAGCTTTTTCACTTAAGGCTGACTTCCTCGATTACTAGTCAGAACAGGCTTTTGAGTTCAAATGACGATTATGATGATGACGATATTTTGATTGTAGAAGTTGAAGAAATATATAATTTTTTGTTCAATGTCTTTCAAGACCACTGTCTTAGGAAGACATCACCCAGTTCGAGACGGAAATCTGAAATTCGGAACATAATTAGGAAATTATGAGAAAAAGAAAAGAACAGGTACGATTGGTACGGTTGTGAAGAAGAAGAGTGTGAGTGACAGAGGGTACATTGTAGAAAAGGGGGGGGGGCGGGGGGGAGAGGTCATACGGACTATCGGACAGTTGCCAGGTACCGAATTAGACACTATGGTGACCTAGGAGACGCAGATATTCGACTTTATCTACGATTGGCAAACACGAGAATATGTAGAATGGTACCCGAGAGAAGACACCCGAAAGTGGGAAAGACTGGTTGGAGAAGAAGAACGGACCATTATGTCTCTCCAGGAACATAATCAATGTGGACGTTTGTATGTATAGTGGTGAGAGGTCTATGGAGAGGGTGGAGATATGTATTTTGATGAGAATGAAGAGGAAGGCGCTTGAGAGAAGGATTGCGAGAAGTCCAGCGGAAGCGTGTAGAAGGGTGTTGAGATTAGGAGGTATTCATGGGTATTGAGAGAGCAACGAGAGCTCGTGGTTCCAGGTGAATCTTAATTAAAGGTTCAATAATTGTATGGTTTGTTTTCGGTTGAAGAATGTAAACTATAATTTCTAAAAGGCGTGGTATTGCCTGAAAAAAAACTCTTCATCTTGAAACCTCGCCGCAACACGATTCATCTTCTCAGATGCTATAAAAGTCATATTTCCAGGAAACGGTACGAAAGCTTTTCATCAGCATGAAAATATGACATTTAAAAACTGATAAAAGGATGTCTCTCAAATTCATAGAATTTTTTTTGAAATTTCCTAGTTTTTCAGCTATTTCCGATTTTTCTAATTTTTCCTGTTTTTGAACTGAAAACGTGAAAAAAACAGGTATCCTTCAAAAATCGGCGAATATCTGATAAACTAAGAAACTTCAAAAAGTTCTGTAAACTGAAAATTGACAGCCGAGCTCCAGACTCCTGAACATGGTCAAAATTATCTGAAAAACACGTTTTTGTATATCATATTGACCGGTACTGTATGTATGTTTTCAATGTTGTACATCGGAAACTGTTCCGTCTCTTTAGGTGGTGGACCCGAGGTTAGGAATCAGTACAAAGAGATTTCATCAAAGACAGAAACTGTCTCTCTTCTCTGACAAATTTTCCTCCAATGGAATTTCAAATGTGGGATTTTCATAAAATAACATTTTCTCATTGAACAAGTCTTTATTTTTCAGTCAACATCATCATAAACCGAAAATGTATTGATCTGACAGCATAAGTCAATTCAATTAAAACGCCTTGTCAATGAATTGGGCATTGGGAATGGAGACGGGGGACATTTGTTTGTTGTGCCAAAAGGGGATAGCGTCAAAGATGCAAACTACAGCGCTCCACAAAGGGATGAATCCCACCCTTCGTTTGTACCGGAACACCTAGTCAGTTCAATGTCCATGAAAAGGTGTCAACTTGAAAAATAAAGGTCACTTCAAAACGTACCACCAAAAAATTGGAGCCAGCCACGCGGCCCAGAAGCCAGAAACCAGGAAAATTCCAAGGCCCCGGTTCGCCCATTCTATTAGGTTGGCGGGAAAGTCTTTGTCACTCTGTTTGTTTAATCACTGTTCTCGTATATGGAGGCTGTGTATGATATCGACTCTAGTGAATAACAAGGTGATAAGAACCTTCCATATAAACAAGTCCCCATTTCCTTCCCTGCTCCTCATCTGTAATTGAAACGATATGTTTGTTCCCACTGCTATTCACATCAGACATGTTTTGATTTACCTCTTCCTATCTCACACCACGATGAAGGATTCGGAAACTTTCTTGAAGAATGTGTACAACACACATGCCCCTCACTACAATACTATTCGCAATTGGTTCCATCGTTTCGAAAAAGATGACTTCTCGCTCGATGAAAAGGATCGCTCTGGGAGACCCCGTGAGTTGGATTTGGACAAGCTGAAGCACGCATTGCAATCGGATCCATTTCAATCTAGCCGTGAACTAGCTGTCACATTCGGAGTTCACCATAGCACAGTCCTTGAAGGTTTGAAGTCTCTTGGAATGAGAAAACTTTTTGGTCGATTCATACCTCATCACCTGACTCAAGCCAACCTTGACCGCCGAGTCGACGATTCGATTACTCTTCTCACTCTCCACGCGGGCGATCGATGGCTGGACCGGCTAATAACCGGAGATGAGAAGTGGGTCTTCTACGATAATCACCACAGGAAATCCCAGTGGGTTGGAGAAGGAGAGAGCCCACAGGATGTCCCCAAACCCGGCCTTCATCCGAAAAAAGTTATGCTCTCTGTGTGGTGGGGAG